CATGAAGTTAAATTGACATAAGAAGTATTTACCAAGTAAATAAAACACAACTGAAATGAAAAAAAAAAAGATCAAAACATTGGCAAAAAATAAAATTAAAAGCTGTTCACCTCAAGAATGTGTGCAGAGAATAATATTCCATTTATAATAATTATTCTTTATTTTGTGTCAAAACTTGAGAAAAGATACGTAATAATTCATTTAATTATTTTAACAATCCTACAGGATCAACATTATTATATCCATTTAAAATGAGAAAGCTTGAGGCTAAACAAAAGTTAAGTAATTTGCTTAAGATAACAAACATATCTATAAAAAGGTCAATATTCTGTAGAGGTCTTTCTGATTCTAAGATGGTATCACTATGCTATATGCATGCCAGTGAGACCTCACATTCCTGTACTATTAAAGGTAACAGTTATGGCAACTCCTCCTAGATGTGTGCTTCAGAAAATGTCACTAAGGATTACCTAATACAGCAGAGATAAACTAAACATGCTACTAAGCATTTCATGTTACCTTATGTTTCCAAAGTTAAAATTTGTTTAATTCACATGTCAATAAGCATAAAGAAGGAAGTCCCAGCTGATTTATAACTTAAATAGATAGGATAATGTACAAATTTAAAGAAATTTATCTTTTTTAACTATATAAAAAGGAGGAAACCTTTCTTTTCCTCCACAAAACTATTGTTAGAGACAAAGACAGGGAAATCTGTCAGTGTTTGTATGTGCAATTTCTTTAAAGCATGTTCCCCTGCTGACTACTAGCATCATAAACTCCATAAACCATATCTAGAGAGTCATAAAATGCCTAGATCATGGAAATAATACTATTAAAGCTAGGAAACCTTGGGGATGGATTTAAATGCTATACAACAAATTATTTTTGTATTTTCTCCCTTACTATTATACTTATGACACATCAGTCACACAAGAGTACAGGGAGCTGGGATGCATGTAAAGCAACATATGGATAAATCATTCCTTTCAGCAAGAAAAGAAGGCTTCTATATACATATGCATGATAAAAACAATGAAAAGTACAAGTAATATAGAATTCTATGTGTGAGTAGGGGCTATTTTATCTTATCATCTATAAATTAGAGTCTGAAGTATCTATATGAAGAAATAAACTGGAGATGGTTTCTCATATTATTGATGCTTGCATATGAGAAGTTAATGCTTTTTCCCCTTCAGTTTTTTTGAAAGCCACAATTAAAGTACATTACATATGCAACTTGAGGATACTTAACACAGCAAAAAGGAGGAACAGAAATACTCTTGTACTTGGAATAGAGATTATGCAAACTACTATATCTACAGCACATCTACCTAGCTTTCCCAATAGAAGTCTATCAGGAATCATCATTTTGAACTACAAGTAACATCCAGGCAGGGACCATGAACTAGGAACCAAAGATCACATGCCTAGGATAAAAGCACAATGAGATAATATGTGAGTGTATAAGAACCCTCTAACTTCATTAAAAAAATTATATGACTATTTCACAGACTATTAAATACTTTGAGAAACTATGAAATAAAGAAACATCGTGAATTGTAACTAATAATGCACACGTTAATTTATAAGAAAACAGGCAAGTGACAGACAAAAAATATAAAAGAGAGCCAAGGAAAAATAAGACATACAGTATGCTTACCAGCAACTATAGCTCTTAGTTGATGTAATATGCAAAACATCATAAAATTAAAACATCTACAAGTGGAGAGGGTAAAAGGAAACGTATATTTAATAATAATATGTTCTCCTTTTCTGTTTTATTCCACTTCCAAGAAATTCATGTTGCTCCCATTTTTCCTATTGTCAGGTCAATAGAGTGAAATAGTGAGAAAAGTAAAGAGCAAATAAGACAAATGTGTTTCTATGATCATAAAATTATGACAATACAGCACTTACTATGTACTAAGCACATAAATGTTTTGCCACATCCTAATCTTTCTATGTGAAATATTTACAGAAGTAAAATGATGAGACCTGAGAAGAAGTGAAAGGTTGGAAGTGAAGGAAGCAAATGGCATCTATCTAGCTGAAAATTTCTCAATATAAAATTATGATAAATAAGGTCTGGTTGACAAATTTAATGCAACATTTTTAAATTGTTCTATAAACCAACTATAGTATCTCTTTTAAATTATTCTTATGAAGTCAACTTAACATTTTTGGAATTGACATGTATAGTCACAAAATAAAAAAGTAAACATTTAAACATCTCTGAGCAACCTATTTTCTAATTTTACACATCTTTTAATAGAGGCGTAGGTAGATTTGTAGGTATAAGCTATTTTATAAAATGAAACCCTATTTAATTTATATTTAATCAACTAAAAGTCTGTAAATAAGTAGTAATTTTCATAGATATTGCCTAGTGCCAGCACCCCACCTCAAAATTAAATGTTACATAACTTACTCATTTTTCAGAATCAATATTGTGAACTGATACAACTAAAAAATACCACCAAATATATAATAGCTACCATTCTAAAAGAGACCACAATATATGCAGCATTATTTTTGCACTCTACACTATTAACTTTGTTAAGTTCATAAAAAAGTAAAAAAACATTATTTTCCCTATTATCTCTAAAACATATGGTAAAGGCAATATTAAGTATTAAGATTACTGGGTTCTGAGGAGCAACCATGAATTGCCTATTTCCAATTACTACAGTAATGAGTTTTTGGTATATCATTGAAGTAAATGAAAATGAAATAAAATACTTACAATGGTAACATTACAAAAAGTCATTTCACAGAAGCATAAACTATAACCCACATGACTTCCTATGTGGTATATTAAAAATAATCTTTATAGTCTAATAATGCAAGCTTATATACGAAATACCAAAATAATGACTTTTAGATGCCATAAGTATGTGCACCTATTATGGTGACCAAAATAGTCTAAGGATAAAGGAAATACTATAAGCAGCGTTTGCGAGAGTATTTATTTATCCATACTACACCTATTTCAGAAATTATTTAAAGTGACTCTGGCTTCAAAGAACAATTATTCTGTGTCCTAAACTTATTAATAAACAGAAATTCAATGTTTAGTTGACCTAAACTGTACTGTATAGCAACACCTAACCAAGTTACTACCATGCCAATGACTTCGGAAACAAGACCTATGTCCTCTATTTGGATTACATACTGATAAATTTTACAACTTTATTGTGAGCACATCAGTATCTCTACATAACCTGAGCTTAAAACATGTTTAAATCACCAGTTAAACATTATAAAGAGTTAAACATTAATTTAATTTACAGCCAAAAGTGTTCAGGGTCATCTTGACAATATAAATTGTTTCTTTCTTTATCGCAATTGTTTTTTCTTTTCTCACATATACTTGGCCAGTGGTTACTAATCAGATGACTTCTTTACAAATGAAGTTTTATTCCGCATTACTGAAATAGCACTGACTCTGCAACTACTCCAACTAACACAGAAGCGCTAGAACTACCCACACTGTACACGGTACTAGCTTCTCTGTAACGCTCAGACCTGTCTGCGTTCAATCAATTTCCTTCTTTAGGAGCCGGTCAACTTTAACAATAGAAGGCACCGTATAATATCAAGGCACCTATTCTGAATCACAGCAGATATGAGAGTCCACTTCCTTTACAGATTTTTTTCCTGTCTTAACTTTTTATTTTTATATTAAATTTTTGGGGTGACACTGGTTAATAAGATTCTGACACCTGGGCAGATTTTTCGCGTTTCTGAATGACAGCCCCAAACCACTAAGCTTGTGGCTGTCCTTGGTGCTGAAACTCACTCTTTTTCTGCCTTTTCACTGAAAACAAACAAACAAACAACAACAACAAAACCCCACAAAAAACCCCTGTGGTCCCAATCCCATTTGGAGAGGAGAAAAATAACTCTACATTGTGTGTGTTGGGGATGGGGGCGAGACGGGGGATGATGGCCGAAGATGGGAGGTTTTTAAAAGGAACTGTTAAGTTTCTGGCCAGAAAATGCCAACTAGTGGGGTGGGGGTGGGGAGGGGTTGCTGCAAACATCTAGACTCTAGAGGGCATTTCCCTTTCGGTGCCAGGAGACCCAGGGAATCGGGACTGCGGCAAAGACCCGAGTTGCGGTTCGACCCGGGCGGGAGCGGCGCGG